GTGTGCAGTGATTCTAAGATCGACGGCACTCATCTGCATGTCATACTGACAGACAGTATTATTTCTCTTCCCCAGCAGACTCCAAGGGCATTTAAATTAAAGGTACAGTGTTCTGCACTAATATTAAGTCTCTCTGAAGCCTAGAAACACCCTTTTTTAAGTTAAATTCACAGCGAATTTATTCGACTCGAATCGAATATTGTCCACGAATTCGCCGAATCAGTCGAATCGAATTTTTCATTTCTTCGCTCATCTCTAATCCTAAGTATTAAAATGATTCAGCTTAGCTTATGGCTATCATTTTTCTTGGTAATCCTATGCAATATATTCTGCCATTTAGGCTTTGTTATGTAGTCATATCACTTGCTTTATATTTGTGGAAAGACATCTATCTATATAATTATTGTGCATTATGTAGTCATTACGCCTATAGTAGAAAACGTTCCGTTTACAGAAAAACTAGAGCCAATTGACAAATTTCATTGTTATATTTGAACTCAGAATGTGAAATTCATTAAGAAATGGATCCTTTTGTTTCCAAAACTGGTAAAAAATAAAAATTTGTTGAACAGTGTTATCAGGCATAGATGAATCAGAGTAACTTGCGAGCCACAGGTGTGATAATTACTAGAGGATCGCAAACATGAAACGCATAACTACAACTGTGTTGGAAATATCTACAAATATATGTTGCGCTCCTAAATACTTCTCAATAAATAATCATTAAATTATTACCATTAAATTAATTCAAATTATGATACAAATAGCTAATAAAAGTGTATGAATACCAAAAAATATTTAAATAGATAGTTTCAACTAATCAATCTCCTCCAAATTTTATCAGGCAGCCACAACGGTTCTAAAAGCTATAGGAAATCATGCTTTTTAAAAAATAAATATTGCTAAAGCCCTCAGGTTTGTAGAAAGTAGCCGGCAGCACAACAGTTTATTAGTATATTAGGGGCATTCAAGTCAAAATGGGACTTTTCATTTTACAGGTATAAAAAAGGACGGTATCGTGGTGGGACTACACGCAGTAGTAAGTGGCAAGTGTGCCTTATTACTGATAGGTGGAGCACATGTTGTGAGCCAGTCCAGAGACCGTTAATCAAGATGGCAGACAACAGTGTTAGCGCGTGCGTGGAGCAGCGTGTGGTGATGAAGATTCTTGTGATCAAAGGCATAAAAACCCGTGGATGTCTGCAGAAGACTTCATGCACAGTACGGTGATGAGACACTCAGCTGCAGGAAGACACTTGAATAGTGTAAACTTTCCAAAGAAGGCTGTCCATCCATCAGTAACAAGCCGTGGTGGTTCCCTGCCGCCAGCAGTCATTGCTGAGAACATTCAGCCTGTGGAATGCCTTAACCTGGATAATCGATGCATAACGTGTAATGAACACAATGATGACAAAGTGAAGCCGGCTGTCCTAGGATGGTTCAGGCATACTGACAAATCTTTCTATGCCAAAACTTTCCATGCATTAGTCAAATGTAGCAGGGGAGTATGTTGAAAAATAAATGCAGTTTCCACTCCTTGAAGTTTGTTATTTCATTATAAACTCATAAGTCCCAGTTTGACTTGAACTCCCCTCGTAGTTGGTGTGCTTTTCTATTGTGCTAACATACTGCAAGTTTCATGAAGGGGATGGCATAAGTTCAGAGCCACAATCCCACAATCCCTGAACCTCCTCTCTCATGACCACATCCTCCCAAAGTATTCAAAATATAATTGTGTTTGGTTGAAATTTTCTAGCTTCAGAGCAGTGAACAAGTACTTGTATAGGCAGAAAACTTAAAAAAGTTCTGAATTGGTGAAGTTTTTAATGTATCAGCTGCCAACAGCATTGTTGTGGTCTAAAGCCTTCACTTGCAGTCTATCAGCTGTGGTAAAAGTAACAGCCCTTTGCGTGCCATTTGGCGATGAATAGGACTATACATTAACCACTTCCCGTCTGGCCGTTGTATATAAACGGCCGGACGGTGGTGGCACTGCAGGGTCGGGTGGCCCGTTTATAAACGGCCTCCCTGGAACCTTGTTTGTGCGCGCTCCCTGGGAGCGCGCAGGCACCGCGATCCGGTGCCCGCTGTGTCCTCCGGACACAGTGGAACACCGATCGTCGAACGGGACCTCTGTACGAGGTCCCGATCATGTGATCACTGATTGGCCAATCAGTGATCACATGCAAAGTAGTAAGCAAGATGTCACTTCTGACATCATTGCTTACTACGTGTGAAATCTGTGAATGATCACAGAGGTCACATGGTACAGGGCTATTCACAACAGCCTTGTACCATGTGACAAGCTGTGACTAATCACAGCTCACTCAGTCGTTCTCAATGGCTGCAAGAATGCAGACAGAGAGAAAGAAAGAGAAATGATTGCTTTTACATCCTTTATGGATGACAGTACGTAAAAAAATAATAAAATAATAGAAATAATATACAATTTTTTAAAAAAAATGTAAAAAAAAATGTTTAAAAATTATAATTTTTGGTTATAAACTAATTTTGGTTATTTTTTTTTTACTAAAAAGATAACGGAATAAATTTTGGCCAAGATTTATGATGAAATAATATTTATTTGCAAAATTTTATAAGAAAAACACTTTTTTTTTTCAAAATTTTGGAACTTTTTAATTTACATAGCAAAAAAAATTTAAATCCCAGCGGTGAATAAATACCACCAAAATAAAGCTTTATCTGTCTCAAAAAAAATGATAAAAAATTCATATGGGTACAGTGTTGCATGACCGCGCAATTGTCATTCAAGGTGTGATAGCGCTGAAAGCTGAAAATTGGCCTGGACAGAAAGGGGGGGGGGGGGGGGGGAAAGTGTCCGGACTGGAAGAGGGTGAAAGTGTCCAGACTGGAAGGGGGTGAAAGTGTCCGGACTGGAAGGGGGTGAAAGTGTCCGGACTGGAAGAGGGTGAAAGTGTCAGGACTGAAAGGGGGTGAAAGTGTCCGGACTGGAAGAAGGTGAAAGTGTCCGGACTGGAAGGGGGTGAAAGTGTCCGGACTGGAAGAGGGGGAAAGTGTCCGGACTGGAAGGGGGGGAAAGTGTCCGGACTGGAAGAGGGTGAAAGTGTCCGGACTGGAAGGGGGGTGTGAAAGTGACCGGACTGAAAGGGGGTGAAAGTGTCCGGACTGGAAGGGGGTGAAAGTGTCCGGACTGGAAGGGGGTGAAAGTGTCCGGACTGGAAGGGGGTGAAAGTGTCCGGACTGGAAGGGGGTGAAAGTGACCGGACTGAAAGGGGGTGAAAGTGTCCGGACTGGAAGGGGTGAAAGTGTCCGGACTGGAAGGGGTGAAAGTGGTCCGGACTGGAAGGGGGTGAAAGTGTCCGGACTGGAAGGGGGTGAAAGTGTCCGGACTGGAAAGGGGGTGAAAGTGTCCGGACTGGAAGGGGGTGTGAAAGTGTCCGGACTGGAAGGGGTGAAAGTGTCCGGACTGGAAGGGGGTGAAAGTGTCCGGACTGGAAGGGGGTGAAAGTGTCCGGACTGGAAGGGGGTAAATAACTGGGCAGGAGCATCAACTCAGTGAGAAGAGTAGTCAGTGATAGCCAGGGGTGGACAGATGAAGTTGTGCAGAGTAAATAGATACCCATGCCAAACCTTAAAATTGCATTCACCCGCAACGCTTTAAAAAGGGAGCACTGGAGCTAAAATGATTGCTCTGACTCTGGTGTGTGTGCTAATTTATAACATGTGTAGGACAATCGCCGTTTTCGTACATACAGTAGCATTTGTGTAGCATTTTTGTAGGTGTGTGTGGGGGGGGGGGGAATTAAAAATTTTTTATGTGTGTCATTTAAGCTTAAAACTTTGTTGTTTAATTTTATTTATTTTTACATAACTTTTATTGCTATCACATAGATGACCAATAGCCCCCGATCTGATAGCAAACAGGTGACAGGTTAGATCCTGGATGTAGCTGTGTTCACTTTGAATAACCAATCGTGTGCAGATGAAATTATTAAACAGGAATATGATTTTCATGTCACTGGATAACTGAAGTAAGGTCTTTTTGAATCTTACTGAATGAAGATTTTTTTTTTTAATAAGCTTGAATAGACTTTCAATGTAACAGTTTCTTTTTATATTCTGTGCCTTGTTTCTGGGTATGATAGCAATTTTTTTAAGAAGGGTAATAATTCATGCAGGAGTTCAGAGAACCTGCAACTATACCTCTACATATACCGGTAAGTGTAATGAAAATGTTTAACAAATTCCTAGAATATTCTTAATCTGTTTTGTGATAAAGTACGCTTTTACTATATTTCTCCAGCTGCACTTTTTTACCATGTGGATGTTACTAAATGTGCTAACCTGTGGTTTCCTAAAGACAATATATGTAACAAATGAACAGACATCAGAGGAAACGTAGTAACTGCTACATCAGTGGTAAAGTCTATATGAAGATGAAAGCACCATATAAAAAACAGCCAATAGTTAACCATCACTGACTGTAATCAAGTAAAAAAGAAGTTTGTGGCTGTATTGATGTGTAACATCAGTCATACCTATTAACTGATGATTTAATTACTCATTCTACTACGAAATCCCTAAAGTAGATTTTCCTTCTCCCCACAGTGAGGCTTGTTAATAGACACTTCCGTTTTGAAAGAGAAGACGATGGATTACTACAAAGCAGACTCCTATAACCTCTGTGACACACAAAGTTACATATTGAAAGGTCATACTCTGGTCCATGGTTTACAGATGTTTCATGGCTTTATGATATCATCCTCCTGGAAATCATGTTCATACGCTTTCAAGTGAGGTATCCTAATTTCAAGTAAGCTACTGAAAGAGAAAGCAAAAGAAAAACGTATGTGAGAGGCAAACTCAGGTTCTTTCAGTTACTCCCATATATACACAGAACTATACTGTGTGTGTGTGTATATATATATATATAATACAATACAATGCAAAACATGAGGGGATTGAGGGCCCTGCTCTTTGGAGCTTACAATCTAGGAGGGAGGGGATGGTGGTACAGGAGGAGATAGCTGTGGGGGATGGGGTGGTAGGAAGAGTGGAGGAGGTTGGCAAGTTAGCAGGGGGTGGGGTAGGCTTTTTTGGCTACTGAATGGAAACCAAACATTGGGTGACACGATAACTTAATTAACAACCTCTTAATAACTACCTATAATATATATGCGTCTTTTGGGTTCTTATGGACCTGTTCTTCTAGAGGTTATTTGACTTTGGTAATTTGGTTTTGCCATCACCCCAGTTTATGAGTGTTTTATTTTTATAGACGGCTGGAGCGCATTGAGCGGAGGGGCTTATATTCATGGCATTCATACCAGGAGAGGAGGTAGAGTTGGAAATGCATCAAGCCTTTGTAGCAGAAGGCCCAAGTCTATCTACTGAAGATGAGGATATTAAGATTAAATTTCGGGAACATAAAAAGCTTGTTATCAAACGTCTCAATCGAAAGTGGGATGTATGTTTCTTGGAAGCGTATATTAGACAGAGCATTATCCCACGTGGATTGAGATGTAAGGTAGTTCCAGCTGAACATCTACATAATGAAAGATTTTTGGAAAAATGGAAAGTGCTGTGTATAGAACATGGGATTAAATGGTATGAAACTTATTGTAGAGGAGGAAAAATTACAACTTGAAGAATTGGATCAGGCCATCAGCAAAAGTGCATTAGATTTAGATCCCTTTAAAAATCAGGAGAATTTTGAAAAATATAATGAACAACTGAAAAAGGAAGTGGAAAAAGTACAAAAAAGTCTTAGAACTACTAAACAAACCAAATTTAGACGTGATTTAAAAGACTGGGAAACAGGTGAGATATTTGATCTCACTACAAAAAGAAGTAGAAAGTCGATCTAAACGAAGAGGTTTTCGTTCACACTCTAGATCAATGGGAGAAACCATGTCTAGTGAAAGTGAGTCTGAAAACCTTGGAAAGTCTGTTTCTTTTTTAGACCAACAAAATGGAGAACCTCCTCATATCCATCAATCGCAGATGGGAAGAGGATCCAAAAAGAAAGTAGAGGAATCCTTAAAAACAAACATCAGGAGGACAAGGGCAGAAACAAGAAGTCAGAGGAGGTAGTAGAAGAGAATATTCATGACAAAAAGGTAATTAATTTGGCTAATTTTCCACTCAAAAGGGAACATATCTCTCTATTAAACAAAGGTATGTCCTTCTCACCAGTGACCCCCATGGACGAGTTCGAGGTATTCAAGGATGTGAACTTATTTCTAAGAAACAGTCTTCTTGAGAATGATACATGGTAATCCTACCATTTTGGAGGATATGGCCTCCGACTCGTCCATGGAGGACCGCAAGATACTGGATATGTTGATATCTCTCATAGAGGAAAATGAGGATGGTGATGAAAGTATAACAGACTTGGATAATTCCAACAATATAATTAGAAAGGTTGATTTAAATATTAGATCGACAAAAATGCCGAAAAATTCGTTCCAATATGAGGATCTCGACATTTCTAGATTTTGTCGCTGATGACCTTAAAAATCTTGAGTGGAAAATGCCAATTGGCGATAACCTTACCCAAAAAAGAAAGAAAAGCTCTTAAAGAACTAAAAGAGACCAAAGATATTGTCATTAAGAGAAGTGATAAAGGGGGCAATGTAGTGATTTTGAATGAACAAGACTATGTCAGGGAGGTGAAGCGCTTATTGAGTGACTCATCCACATATAGGAAAGTGACTGCGAATCCTTTCCATCTGGTGGTTAAAAAAATTAAATTCCATTTTAAACACTAGGGAAAGAAGTGGGTTTGTTAACTAAGAAAGAATATGACTATTTGAGAACTGAAGAATTCAATCACCCTACGTTTTACATTATCCCTAAAATACATAAAAACCAGGAAAACCCTCCAGGTAGACCTATTGTTTCAGCCATTAATGGTCCCCTAGATAAAACAGGGAAATATATAGATTTGTTTCTTAAGGATATGGTTCCGAATCTCCCCTCCTATGTGAGGGACACTAAGGATGTGTTGGCTAAGATTGAAAATATGACCATTAAGGATAACTCCATTCTAGTGGGAATAGATGTGGAATCACTTTACACCTCTATCCCACATGAATATGGCGTGAGATCAGTCTCCTATTTTCTGAAAAAACATACCCTACTTTGGGAGGACAGAATGAATTCATTAGTGAGCTATTGGAGTTTGCTTTAAAACATAACTTTTTTTCAATTTAATAATACCTTCTATCAAACAAACTAGAGGTACTAGTATGGGAGCACCGTGGGCTCCGGCCTACGCATGTCTCCATTTGGGGTTTTGGGAGGAACAGGTTGTCTTTAAATCATCAAGATTTCTTGCTAATGTCCAGATCTGGTTAAGATATATAGATGATGTGTTCCTTGTGTGGCAAGGAACATCTGAGGAATTAAAATCATTTTTGGGAGAGTTAAATCAGAAACTCCTTCAATATTGGACTTACATATATATGTGATGAAAGATGTATTTCTTTTCTGGATCTGGAGATTAGACTTGAAAATGGAAAACTCCTCACTAAGACATATAGGAAACCTACTGCTGCCAATACCCTATTAGAGGCAAGAAGCTACCATCCACGTTCACTGATCTCAGGGATTCCAGTGGGGACAGTTTTTGAGATGTCGGAGAAACTGCTCAAACATCAATGATTTTAAAATAGAAGCTCAGGATCTCTATAAAAGATTTAGGGAAAGGGGGTATTCCCACTCCCAAATTAGAAATGCTCGGAGACGGGCATATCAAACTGATCGTGAGGTTTTATTATCCACCAAAAAGGAAGTGAAGGCTAGATTGAGTGATCAGCCTGTGAGAATGATTACTCAATTTGGAGCTCAATGGCAAGATGTTAAATTAATATTGGAAAAACACTGGAAGATTCTTACTCAATGCCCCAGGTTTGAGCAAGATTGTAGGTGAACGTCCCCAGATGGTAGCAAGAAGAGAGCACCAAATCTTGTGACCTCCTTATTCATTCAGATTATCAACCATTAAAACGAACAACATGGTTAAAATCACGTACCAAGGGGATGTTTAAATGTGGAAAATGTCAAATCTGCAAATATGTGGATCGCACGGATTCCTTTTATGATTCAGGAAATAACACTCACTATAAGATTCAGAGTCTTATAAACTGTTCCACAGTAAGGGTATTATATATCTTTAACCTGTCCCTGCAAAAAGATGTATGTAGGTAAGACTAAAAGACAACTTAAAGTAAGAATTGGTGAACACTTTAGAGATATTAGATCAAATGATCCTGATAGTAACCTTGCCCAACATTACGCTAAATATCATGGAGGTAAACTGGACGGCACTAAAGTAAAAGGTTTCTATGCACTGCACTTCCCACAGAGGAGAGGTGATTTTGATAGAGAACTGCTTAAAAAGGAGAAACATTGGATATATAAACTTGATACACTGTACCCTAAGGGGTTAAATGTGGAATGTGATCTCCAAGTGTTTTTGGAAAAATAGGTTTATGGGACTGTGTACCGGTGTTGGGAATATTAATGAAAATATGGATGATCTTACGATATGAGTTTTTTTGTATAGCTCTATACAATGCAAAGGGACTC